TTTTAAGTTATGCATAATTTATAGACTGAATTAGAGAACTGTTAAATCATAAATGAGAAAAACTATCCATTTGGGTATAGTTTATTATTAATTTAATGATTTTTTAAATTAAAATTTATAAATTTTTAAAAATTTAAATTTATAGTATTAATAATATTTAATAAAATATAAAAATTATATAAAAAATTTATTATAAAAAAACTTATCTACGTATCATTATCTTTTTAAAACTTATAATATGAAACCTCCAAAATTACATATAGGTTATGAATACATTTTTAAACATTAGGGATACATAAAAATATGTGCAATTTTGAACTTGTCTTTCAGATCAAGTGGCTCTAGTAACCACGCTTGTAAGGTTGATACCTCCTCCCAGAGCAATGGTTTGATCCAGCCTCGTGACAAAAATGTTCAAAAAAAAAAAAATGTGCAATTTCTTCTGTTCTCATGCATGCTACTGGCCTTGAACTGTATATGAAGAGTTAAAGACGACCTTCATGTCGTGGAGTGGAAAACGACCTTCCATGTCGTGGTCATGGGTTTGACATTAATGAAAACTAAGGGTCCTACAATTCTCATTGATTATTACATCTGTTCCAGACGAAGAAGAATATTTCTTTAAAAGACAAATCACCGGTTCTGAAAATTATTTGTTAATCTCTCCCTCCAGCTAGATATCAAATTTTCAGAAAAATGGTAACAGATTTGGATATTTAAAATTTTAAATAGTAACGAAAACTTGCTAATTTTTTTTTTTAAACAGAAAAAATGTAAGAGAGAGAGAGACAATTTTAAACTCTAATCAAAATCATAAATTTAAGTGCAACTGATCAAAGCCGTCGGAGCTGCCGGTGCACAAAAACTTGATAATTTGAATAAGAGAAAAAAGGAAAAAAAGAATTATTTCTATATAGGTAGCTATCCAGTATCTGCGGTAACCAGAGCTTTACGATAGGAATATAATTTTTCATCGTCAGCAGCACGAAGCTTATCTCTTTTTCACCCATTTCTATGCCGCACACGAATTTCCCTTCTTTTGTTATGATTCGCTTCAAAGAATTGTTTTTTTAAGAAAACCCAATTGCCTTTCTTCCTCTTTTTTTTTACAAGTTGGTGGTTGGTGGTTGGTGGTGGCGTACTTCATTCTCACTGTTGGAATCACTTTTGTTGTATGGGTAGCTTCCTGAGTTTCTGTCACCCTTGGATTTTGCTTTTCAGCCTCTTGAGTTTTGTTCTACTGCTCTAATATTCCTGTCCCTTGCCTTTAGGAAATATGGGGCTTTAATGCATTTCCATGGGGGTTTCCTTTTCCTGTCATACTATAATTGTTCTTGGCTTCATCTTCATTGGTGTGCCATTCTAGAAGGGGTTTCCATTTCATGAAGGAATCTGTTTCTGCTTTCCACGACCTGTCTTTTTTGAGTGCTTCCTCTTCTATCTTCCCTTCTTATTTCTTTCAACTATCTTGTATGAGAATACGATGTTCTTAATTTGGAGCAAAATGAAACACTCAGGATAGTGAGGCAGGTTAAAGTTTATGAATTTTTATGTCCTATCTAATAGTATAATCCAAACTGCTTAGGAGCTTAGGCAGCTTAGTTAGTTCCTGGATTTTGCTCTTTATGCTTTGTTTTTCCTTTCCTTCCACTCCACTCCTTATGCTTGTTGGTGCTGGATGTTTCTGTGTTTTGTTCTGTGTTTCACACATATTGCAGGAATATGGTTTTGTGGAATTGATAGTTAAATTTTGATTCTCATAACAGGCCTTGAAAAGATTAGAGTGGGGAAAATGGATTCATTCCATAGAGGGCCAAATTATTCTTGAGGTTGATTGGAAATGAATGCATTCTGGGTTCTTTTTTCGCTCTTTCTCCTTTGTGGAGAGTTTCATAGGGGGGATGCAAGAAATGTTTCCTCAAGGCCGGCTGTTGTAAACATTGGGGCAATATTTCAATATGACTCTGCTATTGGAAGAGTAGCTAAGACTGCCATCCAGGAAGCTGTTGATGATATCAACTCCAATTCCAGCATTCTTCATGGGACTAAACTCTCTGTAACAATGCATGATTCCAATGGCAGTGGGTTTTTTGGCATGGTTGAAGGTACGTTAGTATCTTTGCTTCTTGCTTAATTTGTGGTTAATTGATTATTTCTTGTTTTCATCAAATTCAGTGATTGATCAACCTCCTTAAAGTTGTATCAATTGTAATTATAAACTTTAATTTTTATGTTTTGTTAACAGCTTTGCGATTTATGGAGACTGATGTCATCGCCATTATAGGTCCACAAAGTTCTGTTGTTGCCCATGTAATGTCCTATGTTGCAAATGAACTCCAAGTCCCTTTACTGTCATTTGCAGCTACAGATCCCACTCTTACTTCCCTTCAGTTCCCCTTTTTTGTTAGGACAACACAGAGTGATTTGTACCAAATGACTGCAGTGTCTGAGATTGTCAACCATTATGGCTGGAAGGATGTAATTGCCATCTTTGTTGATGATGATTATGGGAGAAATGGTGTTTCTACATTAAATGATAAGCTTGCAGAAAGGCGCTGTAGAATCTCTTACAAGGTTGGGATTCCTCCCGATTCTAGGGTAAATCGTAATGTTATCATGGATATTCTTATTAAGGTTGGATTAATGGAATCTCGAATAATTGTTTTGCATGTAAACCCGCCCACACTAGGCTTTGAGGTTTTCACTATGGCAAACTATCTTAAAATGATGGACAATGGCTATGTATGGATAGCTACAGATTGGCTCTCATCTGTTTTGGATTCTGATTCACCACTCCCTTCTGAGACAATGGATGCAATTCAAGGAGTTCTTGTTCTACGCCAACACACTGCAGACTCTGACAGAAAGAAAGCCTTTTTCTCAAGGTGGAACAAGATCACCAAAGGTTCTCCAGGATTGAATTCTTATGGGCTATATGCATATGATTCTGTTTGGCTAGTTGCTTGTGCTGTTGACGCTTTTTTCAAGCAGGGTGGGGTTATTTCATTCTCTAATGATTCTAACATACAATCATTGGAAGGTAGTAATCTCCATCTTGACGCAATGAGTCGTTTTGAAGATGGAAATCTTTTGCTGAAGAACATATTGCAGTGTAATTTTGTTGGTTTGACAGGTCCTATCAAGTTCAGTTCAGACAGATCTCTTATTCTTCCTGCATATGATATCATTAACGTGGTAGGCACTGGATTTCAATGTATCGGTTACTGGTCCAATTATTCTGGTTTATCAACCATACCTCCTGAAACACTTTACACAAGGCCACCAAATCGTTCAAGTGCAAGCCAACAACTACACAGTGTTATCTGGCCTGGAGAGACATCGTCAACACCTCGTGGATGGGTTTTCCCAAACGATGGGAGGCAATTGAGAATTGGGGTACCTATGCGGGTCAGTTTTAAGGAATTTGTATCCCAAGAGAGAAGGGTTGGTACATTCAAGGGATTTTGCATAGATGTATTTACAGCTGCCATAAATTTGCTACCATATGCTGTTCCTTATAGATTTATACCCTTTGGGGATGGTAGAAAAAACCCAAGCTACACAGAGCTTGTGAATAAGATTACAACTGGTGTGAGTACTACATTATAAAGACAAACTATAAGAGTTTGGTTTTTATTCTTTTCCCTATTGAGTAATCTGCTTGTTTTCTTGTCATAGGAATTTGATGCTGTCATTGGTGACATTGCTATTGTTGCTAATCGGACAAAAATTGTGGATTTTACCCAACCATTTGCTTCATCAGGATTGGTGGTTGTTGCTCCATTTAAGAAACGGAACTCAGGTGCTTGGGCTTTTTTGCGGCCATTTAATCCTCTCATGTGGGCTGTCACTGCTTGTTTGTTCCTAGTTGTTGGAATAGTTGTGTGGATTTTGGAGCACAGAACAAATGATGATTTCAGGGGGCCTCCTAAACAACAAGTTATAACCCTTCTATGGTGAGGTTCTTAGCCTAAAGTCCTGGTGGTCATGCTTAAAATATGTGAATTATAAATGGAGAAACTGGGTTAGATTGATGGAAAAATAATTAAATTTGGTTTCTGGTGTGGGTTAAGCAAGATAATGTTGAGTAATGGTATGTGTGTGTGTTAGCTTGGATGCACAGAGATTTTGCAAGTGGGGTTCGTGTGTGCCTTCCTGCCATTGCTGCATATAATTTAGAAAATTTAGGAATTGATTCTAGCTAGTTATTCTTTATTTTTCATTTAGAAGTGCTTTGATTTGTTTTTTGGTTTCAAAATTTTGATATAAATATCATAGTATTTTATTGAGCAATTTTTCCTTAAAAAAGATGAAAAACTACTGAAACTTTGCTATTAACTAGTCCTAAAATGGTGTTGGTATTGACTGAGATGATTCCTGTAATTGATTTATGTTCTGATAATTGAACTAGTCATTCGTTTATCTTGATTTCCTTCTGGTTGAACGCTATCCAAGTAGAAACATTTCTATCATAACTAATTCTTACTTTTGAAGTAATTGTTCATTGTTATAGCTGGCATTGATACTTTTATGAAGTTTGGTTATTTCAAGATCTCCTGTCATGTGTTTCTACCATACCTCATTTTTTTAAAACAAAATGTCTCATCATCCATCATAAGATCAAACACTTTGCTAACATATTTAAACCAGCATGTGAAGTAATATTATATCTGATTCATATCTTGTTTGTTAAATGTGCAGGTTTAGCTTCTCAACCATGTTTTTTACCCATAGTAAGAACTCCAGTTGTTCGTTAAATTTTTGCTCACAATAGGGTGGTTAGATAGCATGGTTCATTTGATTGAGTGGTCCTCTATTCCATTTTGCAGGAGAGAACATTGTGAGTGCCCTTGGGCGATTGGTGCTGGTTATATGGCTCTTTGTGGTTCTGATAATCAACTCAAGCTACACTGCAAGTTTGACATCAATCCTTACAGTTCAACAGCTATCTTCTCACATCAAAGGAATTGAAACCTTGAGAGAAAATGATGATCGTATTGGATATCAAGTAGGTTCTTTTGCTGAACATTATCTAAGCGAGGAGCTTAACATATCTAAGTCCAGGCTTGTTCCCCTTGGATCGCCAGAAGCTTATGATAATGCACTCAAACTTGGACCAGAAAAAGGAGGGGTTGCTGCATTGGTTGATGAGCTTCCGTATGTGGAACTTTTCCTCTCAAGCCACTGCACATATAGGATTATAGGTCAAGAGTTCACCAAAAGCGGATGGGGTTTTGTAAGTGTCTCTTTCCTAGATTCCAAAATTTAGAAAACATGACTGTTAGATAAAGATGGAACTTTTATTAGTCTCATAAGTTAGGCAATTAGTCTTTTATCTGCTGATTGCATCTTAAGTTTATGTTTTTTTCAGATTGAATCACTAGAATTTAAATTTGCATGCTAGATTTATCTTAAAATGGAATCTACTTTAATTTATAAATCCTTGCAATAAAACCAATCGGAATGTTTCTTATGCCTAAAAGATCCTTGAAGCTTTATAATCTTGTTGGCTCATCGTTCCTTGTTTGGTATAATTTTCTTGCTAGGCTTTTCCTCGGGACTCTCCCTTAGCGGTTGATATGTCGACTGCAATATTAGCACTCGCTGAGAATGGTGATCTACAGCGCATACATGACAAGTGGTTGATGAAAAGCTCTTGCACTTCGGAGAGCACTGAACTTGAATCAAATCGACTTCATCTAAGCAGTTTCTGGGGCCTCTTTTTGATCATTGGCATTGCTTGCTTCATTGCTCTCATAGTTTACTTTGTGCAAATACTATGCCAGATGCGTAGAGTTCTCCCACCAGAATCTGATTCACCTGGGCAGCGTAGCTTGCGTTCCAGGCCTATTGGGAGATTTCTATCCTTGATGGATGAGAAGCAAGAGTCATCAAGGAGTAGGGGTAAGAAACAAAAAGTTGAAAGATCATCATCTGATGACAGTGAGTTGGGGAAGAAGCCCAGAAATATATAAACAGAAACAATCATCTGAAGCAACATTTGGTTAAGCTATTAACTCAAAATTCCTAATTGTATCATCACATTGAACTCGCATATATTCTAAACGTTGAAACTGTTCATGTCTTAGCTCATTATTTTAAGCATAAAATCAAAATATGAGAAAGTCTTCCAGCATGAAAGAATCGATAAAATCAAAATACAAGAAAGCAAGGTCTAAGTCAATCTAACACCATGCTCAAAACAAGAACTCAAACGGTTTAAAAAAAAAAACCCATAAAAGGAAAACTCAAAAAACTAAAAAAGACCCACAAAGAAAGAAAAGGACCATAGTGAAAATAAGGATAGAATAAAGAACAAAAAAATTTGTGTGATTGGATTTTACTCTTCATTAGCTTTAGCAGATCGAAAAAGAACGAGTGTGCGTTTGGTGCAGTTGTTGAAACGTCTTCCTTAAGTGTAACATTCGTTTTATGAGCAGAAGCTGCAACAGATGAAAAGCCAAGTTGAGCTTTTGATAAGTTAAAAACGGAGACGTAAAAAATTTATGCTTTTCGGTGACCTTCTTCTCCTAAAATGCAATATTGCCATCTTCCCATTTTGCCCATCACTTCTTCACACAATTACAACTAAAACTTCAATATATACACACAAAACAATAACAAATCCCTAACTCTGTCACAACACACACTTCTTCTCCATCGGTCAACTGTCATCTCCTTATCCAACCCCAGCTTCATCTTCTCCTCATTTGATCAACTTAGATCTTGCTTTCTGGTTCTAAAAGTCACAAGATCCATGAACAACCTTTGTGCATATCTGGTGGAACTTGATAAGTTATATATATATATATATATTAATATGAAATTTTTGCTATGATATTATTGATATTTGAATGAGTTTTATAAGATTTTATTTGATTTTATATAATTTTCATTTTTTGTGTAAGAAAGTACTTACTTGAAAGAAATCATAATTTTTAGGAGTAAATTTGCAAATACGAGAAATATGAGGATTAACTTATATGAAATCCACAAAGAAGAACAAAGTTTCAAATCCATAGCTAAAGAAGAACAAGCAAGAACAGCAACGGCTGAAATTCAGTGGCGTGAAAGGGAAATTGAAAATCTATTATGACCCCACTCTGTACAGGTGAAAAATTGAGGAAAAATTGAGGAAAAGTTCAAATTCCATTGTACTTGAGCTTTGTCCTCTCTACCATAGGCTCCCGTTGCTTCACCTCATGGGCACCAGCTAATTCCGAACTCACAGAGCAGTTAAAGGTGAGCTCTAAATCGCTAACCTCTCAACTTTGTTTCTTGAAAATTGTTTTTCCTTTTGCATTCTTGGAGACCGGGGAGGGTTTTGAGACTTGAATCTCTATTAATTCTATGAATTATAGCTTAGATTTTAGTTGTTTAGGATGTTCGCGTGTTTTTGCTTTGTTTGGGTGAATTCATTGTTTCTTCTTGTTTTTGTCTTGTCCTTTATATACATATATATATATATATATTTTGGTTTTCCGCCCGGTATCCGGGGTTTCGTCCCGACTAATTCAGACTCGACCTGCGTCACGTACCTAGAAATAGCAAGTGAGTCTCTTCACGAGGACTGCTGCGTATACGAGGGCTGCTGCGTACACGAGAACTCGAACTCGAGACCTTACTTAAGCTGGAACAAACCGTTTACCATTTGATCCAACCCCTCATTGGTGTATATATATATATATATATATATATATAATGTGGATTTTATGGTTAAATGACTGAAAATTTGTATCTCCTCCTGGAAAACTATGAAGGTTCTACAAATTATACAG